GTATTTAATGCAGGGAAAACTTTAAAAAACATTAAAACAACTCCATTTGAAATCAGTTTTTTTATTTTTATAATATAGTGTAATATAATAATTTACAAAATTACACCTAAAAGCTATAGCGAAACAATGGATATAGAACGTTGACACTCAACAATTATATTTATTATTAGGTTTGTGCTGGTGAGTGAATAAAAAATAACTAATAGTAATATTGTTTTTATTTAATGTAGGTATAAAGAAACACTAGCAGGAAGAACAGCTAAAAAACATTACAAAAAAAAAGGTGTGGGTACTCTCAAAGAATATTAAAACAAATCCATTTAGAAATAATTATTTTATCTTTTATAACTAAAAGAAAAAACAAACTACAGGCAAACAAAAAAAAACAAAATGCACCATGTAAGTAAGTAAAGAACGAAGGTGGGAGACCGGACTGTATTAAGTGCACTCAAAGCTGTCAATGTCATTGGTCATATGTGCGGTACAACCACTGTCTAGGCACCACCGTTTTGGCGTAGGACAAACCAATAACGAACTCTCGCCACGACGCGAACTTGATTCTGGAGCAGCATACATGGATGTGCCTCGTCCTTTGTTTTTGTCATCGCTGTTCGCTTTCGACCTGCAGTTAGATGCTTTGTGACCTGGCTTGTTGCACTTGAAGCACCTGAACACGTTTTTGTAGTTACGCTTATGCGATTTACCCGAATTCTGTCGTTTAGACTTCTCCGCCACCATGGCGTTCTGTACTTGAGTTGATCTGTTGTTTCGCGCGTCACTTTCCTCCACGATTTTGATTCGCAGAGTGTGGAAGATCGTCGCGTGACTCAATGGCGACCCTAAAGCTGTCGAAGTTGGCTGGTAAACTGTAAAGCAACAATATCGACAGTAGGTCATCATTCATAGGCACTTTCATATCGCTCAGTCGGTCAACAGCATCAAAAAATTTACGTAGATGATCGCTCACGTCATCACCCTCGCTCATTCGTTGCAGAACGGTTTGTTTTAGCAAGTTAGCTTTTCGCGCAGGGCCCTTTGACTGATACACAGCCTCTAACTTCCGACAGAGTTGTCTTGACGTCGCACATTCTTTGACTTGTTTTAGCTCCGTAGACGAGATCCATAGGAGTATGTCCGACATGGCCTTACTATCTTCCCTATTCCAGTCGTTCACTTCGGCGGCGTTGTTCTCACTTGGCTCGGGTTTGACTTTCGTACCACTCACGTAGTACCAAGCATCATTTTTTATAAGCGAAGCCTTCATGTGGATTTTCCACGTATCATGGCAGACGTAGCCATTTTATCTTGCTTCAGTTTCTTTTACTTTTTTACCGCGCGACCTGGGCCCATAACCTGTTAAAAAGGCTAGGATCGTAGTTTAAGAAACTCGGGCACACAATTTAGCAAGACTTATTGAACACAACACGAGAACGATTTGACTAGAATTAGTAATAAAATGTAAACAACAACTGTTGCTAGTGACAACAATAATAGAAGCAAATTACTAGTGGGCGGTTCAATTTGAAAATATAAATAAAATACTGATTTAACAAAAATAATAGTGTAATATGGGTTTAACAAATGATTCCCTACCGACTGGATGCAATTAAATTGAAAGTAACAATAAAACTACTTCGCCAACTTCACATTTAGTATGTAAATGTTAGTAACTAAAAAAATAATTATCAACAAGTAATAAAATTGCTACAAAAGTAATCAACAAATCGTTAACAATGGAATAAGATCGATAAAATATAAAAGAGAAATATTAATTTGCCAACTTCACATAAATAATTTTTATTTGCCAACTTCACACAGTCCAATAGATGTCATAGGAAGATTTCGCTCTGTCAGTTACTTGTCATTGGTTGTCAGCTATTGCACTATTCGAAGGGTAAATAATTGTAAAAATACACCTACACAGGTATACTCACAATCAGTTATATAAAGTGAAACGAAAATTAAGAAAGTGTCACAGGTTTTATCAATTTATTACTGACGACTTGCTATTTCCCAGGTGAAAATTTGTATTTATCGTTTTAAATTAATAAAATATTGGTACTTAATAAAAACAAAAGTAAAACAAGAAATACATTTTTATACAAATACAGAGATTTAATACATGCATTGGACTAAAAACAATTCAAACTAAATAAAGGCGTTACAGTGTTATACATATTTTGTAAAATTTCTAAAAGAATGTAATTGAGGTTAGTAAACAATTTAGAAATAAATAAATAGCTATATAAGAACACTAAACTCTGAAGTTATTTATTATTAGCATTTTGTTGAAATTCACGTGATTTTACAAAGTGGCTTATATCGATAAAACTTTGCAGGTGTGTACTCACTTCAATTAATATTAAAAACATTGTGTTCAAAAAAGTGGATAAATCAAAGCAGGAAATGCAACATTCTTCTCAGGATTCTCAACATAACTTTCGGCAAACGAAGACGCCCTCCAATGGGCAATTGCCTTACTTGCTTTCGAGAGCCTCAGTTAAGGGCTCTAGAAGATACAACTGTTTATAAGGAAGGTATGAATAATTGTAATTAATTAAGCTGATTAGTATTTCCTCTATGAAAAATTAAGATGAAAGCTTTGGAGTATCTTTTTCAGTTTTTTGCTAAGTGTATGTTATTACTACCTAATAAATTTGGTGTTATATTACAATTTTTTATGCTTTAATAATGTTTTACCTTAAAGTATTTATCAAATAAGAGGTTGCTTGATATAAAGCAAATTTAGAAGTTTGCAGTTTTTTCACTGTTTTCTTTAATGTTTTCCCTTAAAAGGTAATTAATTGTAATAATTAATGAAATGTATATAAAATGAGCTGTGTAAGTCCTGCTGTTTTAATAAATGTTAATTGAAAACATTTTTCTTTTAAAGATCTTTGAATAGGTACATTTTATTCCGTATGTTTTCATAGCTAAGATAAATAATTACTTAGGGTTAAAATGAAGAGTAAAATAAAATTAAACCTTTTGATATCATAGCAAGAATAGAATTATTTATATTAAGTATATGAAATGCATTTAAATGTTTTAAAATTTTTAATTCTACCATTATGGTAATTAAGTCTTTTTATAAATAGCACATACAAAATGGTTAGTCTTCTTCAAGAAAATTAAAATTAAATTTTGTATTGTAATACGTACTTATTCATTGAATTGATCTATTACAGGAATGCGAATATCTGAGTCACAGTCTTCATTAGCAAATAACACAAGTACTGCAAGAGCAGGAGATAACTCATTCTTATCCGATTCAAATATAATAAGCAACGGTAACCATTTGTCTTTGCATCCTTCTGAACAGGACATAGAACAGATATCAGTAGCAGCTACGAACGTCAATCGTTTATATTCCTCATATCAACAGAAGCGTTATCAAACCAAATCGGCTTCTATTATGGGTTTGACAGAAAGTAAACCATCAGATATGAAACTTGCTCAGTTATTTGATATTTATAAAGATGACCAAGAAGACTGTATCCTTGCTGAAGGCATTGAACAATTATGTAAAGATTTGCAGTTGTCTCCTGATGAGTTTAAGGTGCTTATTTTAGCGTGGAAATTGAATGCAGAACAAATGTGTAGGTTTACGCGTTCCGAGTTTATAAACGGATTAAAAAAAATGCGGGTTGACACAATAAAAGGTGTACAAGTGCGGCTTCCTGAATACGCGAAAGAAGTGTCGAATGATGCAGAGCAGTTCAAAGACTTATATCGTTTTACTTTTAAATTCGGACTTGATTCAGGATCAGGACAACGCATTTTACCTTCAGATATGGCAATCTCGCTATGGAAACTCGTATTTACTGTACGAGAACCACCTATATTGCAGCGGTGGCTTCGATTTTTGGAAAATCACCCAACTATTAGGGGTATACCTCGTGATACGTGGAATATGTTTTTAAACTTTTCTGAAACAATTAATAATGATCTCAGTACGTATGATGATAATGAAGCTTGGCCCAGTTTGTTCGACGATTTTGTTGAGTATGAAAATGACCAAACAAACCAGAATGTAGCAATTAAAAGTAAAGAGTGTGAACAAATGTTATTTGAAAGTACCGAATGATACTTACATTATATTGTTGTTATTTTTTACTGTAAATTTCGTTTTATTTATTGTATTTTTCATGTCTGCTATTTAATGAGAAGAAAACAATTATGTTTTCTATGTTTGTTCATGTTATGCAAAGAAGAAAAGTATTTAAATGTTTCCATTGATATAATGTTTAATTTATTGCGTCGCCTTTTTTATTTATTTAACTGCATGCATTTTATTAAATAAAATAGCAGCATTAACTGTTATGATGATTATTATAATCTTAAGTGTTGCTTAAAATCTCATAGTATTCGGCAATAATTGGAATTGGAGATAGTTTTCTTTACATTTACCAACCTAATAAATTTTATTTTATAATAATATTCCTCTTTAAATGTCATGGCTTACCAGATTCTAATATTTTTTAGAATGTAGTTAATGCTAAATCTACACTTCAATTTAAGAGCCTTGTGCATTATTAATTCAAGTACCAATACCATTTTCCCCCTTTTAATTCTAATGTGCAAAAATCAGAATTAATAGGGTTTATAAAGTTTTTTATTAAATACTTGAAAATTAATTCTCAATTTTTTTCCCACTATAAGTTACCTGAAATTAATCAGAAAAACTTTTGTTGCTGCTGTCACCCTCGTCGTGAATCGAACCAGGCACCTTTGGCTTTTCGCACCATTGCTCTAACCACTAAACGACGAGAGGTGACAACAGCAACAACGACGAACCGTACTTATTAGGTCACAGATCCGTCGAACTAATGTATATATACCAATACTATACTAACGTATAGTATATAATACAATACTAATGTATACATATATCAAATACTATTTGAAACATTGAAATTCCTAGTATTAATTTAAAATTAATTCCCAATCTTTTCTGCACTATAAGTTACCTCAAACTAGTGAGAAAAATTCTTGTTGTTGCTGTCACACCATCGGCGGGAGTTGAACAAAAACGACTTATACAGATCCTGATATTTGTATCGACTATATTAGTACTACGTATAGTCCGTTCATCTTTCACTGAGTATTTTATTTTACTTTATGAATATTCATCTAATTGAAATGTGTGATTTCAATAATCCTAAGTAAACTGTGATAATTTATGGTGTATTAAGTACAATAAGCTAATAGAACATATACTTACCGGTTGTGATGGGCCGTATTTCGTTCCTTGCTTTTAAACCAAATCCTGTATACGGATAATTTTTTTAGTTTTTTCAAACTTGAGATGTAACATTACATTCACTACAGTCAAGTGCCCATACTTGGGACAGTTTTTAAATTTAATTGCTTATAATTTTTCACTTTGGAATATATTCACTATTAAAGGAATTTTTTAATATTTTTTTATGTTTTGTCCCAAGTTAGGGATCGGTCCTCAAACTTGGAACACTTGGTAAAATATGTAGTTTCAATGTTTTGGCCTCTTTTATGCACTATAACTTTAACTTGGAGCTGGCAACTTTTATATAGAAAATAATCTATCACAGTCCTATATATGTAGAGTCAAGTGGGGTATAGTGTAACAAAAAAGTCATTTTTATTTTTAGAAAAATAGCCGTCTATTATATCGTCTCAGTATTTATTATAAAATCAGCAGTCTAACTTTCGTAATAGGCTCAGTAATATCACAAGTATACATAGAAACTTCTATTTTTTTTTTAGTTTTGTGAAATCACAAATTTGCTATAGTGTGCCTCAGGGGTGGGGTACAGGTTAACAACCGTAGGGTATAGTATAACAAGGGGGTGCACTATAACAGTAGACTAAACATATAACAAACGAAATGAAGTATGAAACATAGGAAACCTTTAACTTGAATTAGGTTCCATAACATATTTTTGGTAAACAAAATCAAACATGAAAAAATTTGTGCTATAAAAATTCATAATTATCTTTTCTTAACCTAGATTAAAGCGTCTCAGATTTTTTTTGGAATGAGTAGCAATCAGCCTGACGTTTTGTTTTTTTGTCCATTTTAGGTCAACATCATCCAGTACGACAGTAGCAAGATCTGGTTCTAAAGAAAAATAAGACATTATCAACTTTACTACTTTTGCGTAGATAATTGACGTCATATTCACCTATCCCATCACCTGTCAATAATTTTCCAATATAATTGTCTGTTATGCAGAAAATTTAACGACAAAATCGTCTTTTTTTGGACGTTTCAGTAAAGACAGAGGGATGTTATTGTCACCTGAACCGCTACATAGAACATCTGAATCTTTATCAGAATTTTCAGAAGTCTCCAGAACTTGAAAATAAAACATTGGTAACCTTTTCGAGTTTCTTTGGTTTCTTCATTATTTTTATAATTTTCGTATTTTTATTTTTACGCTTTTTGTTTTCTCTTTTTTTTGGCCACTTCTTCAAATTCCTGTTTAATTGGTGTATCGGTGGCGACAAAACTTTTTCTTCCCTTTTTAGAGAGTCGGAGATCGGCCTTCGGATATTCTCTACATTCGATTGGGCTCGCTAAAATGTCTCCCATTGGATCAAGATCTCTATTGGGCTTAAATTCTTTGGAATCATTGAATCGCTGAGCTACTTCAAAATTTTGTAGCAGCGACAACGTCGAAGCTTCAGGTGCTGTAGTCTGGTCTGAGTTCTCTTCTTCAGAATTTTTACAAGTCTTAGGCTGGTTTGGTGACTTCATTCTGCTGCAGCAACAAGAAATCTTTAGAAATAGTAGGCTGGTTCAGAGATTGCTCATTTTCCTGCATTAAGGCATCTGATGTTGTCTGTTTATTCTGCTGCAATAATGAAGCTTTGGATTCTAAAGGTCGGTTTGTAATCTCGCTTGGCATAAAATCGTCGCTTGTGAAAATGTTTCTGTCGAAAGGAAATATTTCAAGTTCTTGGCCTCCCAACAGCAACCAGTTTATCCCCTCAGGAGGGTACTACCTATACCGGTCTTTCTTGGAAGGATCTACCACAACTATTATTCTGTTTGTACATTTTTAGAAACTTACATATTGTAGGTAGGTATAGTCAAATTGTAAGCAGTACGAAGTATAATTTCAACAAGTTATAATAAACACATTTTAACTCAGCATCCGTATAATGTTATAACAAAAAAAGAGAAAATAAAGAGATTTTTTTTGTATCGCACAGTAGCCTTTTCGAATGCTTGCCTAGTAGTTCTGCAACATTGTATATTGTTAAAGATATTCTCGGATGACGCAAAAGCCATGAATTTATAGCTATAGCTGCGTTGTAATATAATAATAAGGATCCAAACACGGACACGTTAAGCGTCAAATATTTCGAACGTGCAATGGGTATTGGGGACCAGAGTCTCGCAAAATACCCCGTCACAAATATTTCTTACAACAGTACTGACGGGCAAGTCACATGACCGTACATGAGCTAGCATAAATCTGGCCCTGAATATAGTTGAACTAAAGGGTTGAGTCACGCGACAGTGTTCAAAGCAATCATAAAGAAGTACAGATTCATTTTCATTTGAATTACACCAATAGTTATTTATGGACAATAATAATTTAACGATTTAACTTATTTTGCAATCTAGTAACACTTAGTAAAAAAATAAAACTTTATATATATATATATTTTAAATTTGAGCATTAAAATTGCTCTGTGAGAAAACTCACCTAATTCTGTATAAAGACACACACTACAAAACAAACTGTTCTCTTCAATATCTATTGACTTCATTATCTTTTGTTATTTTCGATATCTAAAGAGATTATTTAGCCTGCCAAAATTAAACCGGGTTGCTCAAAGAGAAATGATTCATCTATTACATATCGACAGACATATTCTATTAAGAGATAGAAAAATAATGTCTTACAAGAGAAACATGAAAAGCAATTCTTTCTAATAATAAAAAAATTTGTATAAATATAAACATTTCTCTTAGTAGGTACATACATAATGTAACGTTTTTTTTTTTCGTCCGAAAAATCTCGTTACTTGGGGTGTTAATTACCAGCTGTTTTCTTTATGTGAATTAATATTTTTGGTTTTTGCATTCCTTACAAGAAGCTGTTTCTATGTTTGGTATAAAGAAATTTCCTATCGCGCTACGTTAACTGTTTTTCTTATTCCTTTGGTTGTTATCAGGTCTATTTTTGCGGTTAAGCTCGCGTCCGAGCTGTGGAAATTTCTCTGAGGTATGATTCCCAATTAAGATATCGTAACGGATTTCTTGTGTTGATTGGTTGTCGTTGTGTCGATGCCAGGATGAGCCTAAGTAGGGACCCTAGGTTCGAGAATTTCCGAGCCTTGGTGACGAGAAGACCGACTTGACCTGGTGTGTTGGACAACCTTAGTCAACTTAATTAGTGGGGTTTTTACATTTAACGTAAAAAAGGGGGTTTTCAGAAGGTTTGAAATGGTTGCTTTTATGGTACTTAATATTTTTTTGTAGGTATGTATAGTTCAATGTCTTGAATGTTGGAGGTTGTTACAGACGCAGACTAATAGACATACTCTATTTTGATTCCTGTTTCACCTTTGCATTAATGTTTTAATATTTTTTCATATTCTTAATAACATTAAATAAGTAACGTTAATTTTTTACTTAATGTCTTTTTAAATAATTGATCNTCTAACCAGTTTAATCTGTGTAACATTTCTTTTACGTTACTGCGTATATTACACTGTATAACAACGTACATCGACTTTTATTGTTACTTTTCTTTTTTTATATAAAAAACAAATTAAATTTGTTAAAAAGGCTAGGATCGTAGTTCAAGAAACTCGGGCACACAATTTAGCAAGATTTATTGAACACAGCACAAAAGAACGATTTGACTGGATATGACTTTTTCAGCTCTTTATCCAAGCGCTTATACCAGCATCGTCCAGCCTGCTTTAACCCGTATAATGCCTTCTTCATACGACAGGCTTTATTTCCGGGGGATAATTGGGACAGCATGTTTGCAGCCTTGTTGACCACCTCTCGGGATCCCAACTTCTTCTCAACGATGAACTTCAGGGTTTCTTCAGTATAACGTGGCACCTCCATCCAGATTTCTTCGTTGATGACGCCGTTTAAGAAGGCGGTGCATACCACGTTTAGCTGCCAAGGCCATGGCAAGGCGAATTGAGCTGAACCGAGCGACGGGTGCATAAGTCTCGCTGCAGTCCATCCCAAAACGCTGGGTGAATCCCTTAGCTACAACTCTGGCCTTCCGCTTGGTGACTGCTCCGTCGGCACCATACTTGTTCCTGAGTACAATCCGACTCCCGACGGTTGAACGCTCCTTTGGACGCTCCTCCAAGTTCCAAGTGTTGTTTTGCAGTATCGAGCAGAACTCGGCCATCGCTAACATCCACTCATACCTCTCAGGGCCAGAGATTGCTGACTTGATTGGGACTTCTGCGACGCATGCTGCATCTGGTGGATAATAGACATTCTCTGTCGTGTTATATTGTTTCTTAGGTCTGCCAGGTTTGCCTGTAAGGACCTTCTTCGGTCTACCTGGTTTACGCTTCGACGGTGGAGTCGATCCGGTTACCACAACTGGTTCGAAGCCTTGAAGAGGCTCTTCTCCCTCGTCAAGAAACACCAATTTCTGATGTTCATCTGGTTGACGCTCATCTGGTTGGTAAACTGGGTTGCTCGTCGTGTAATCATCTCCCAACACGATATCAATGTAGCCGTACGACAGTGCAGGTTTCTCTACATCCTGCTCGACGTTCGG